TTTCTTATCATTGCCTTATGAAAAAGTTTCGCTAGAAATATGTAGAAAGAAGCCCAAGTCTAAACAATGACATTTAAAGGCTTTGACAAGGAAGGGCTAAGCCTGGTGTGATTGTGGGCCGAAAACAGAGCCTCTATAACACTTCTCAGCCTACTTCTACAGCTCTCACAACAAGCGGCCTGCGGCAGCGCTGTTTTCCCTCTTCCAGTGAAGAACCAAAATGTAATTTCATTTCTCTCATCTTTGTTACAACCTCCTGTTACATCATGGGTTTCTTCCGCCGATCAAAGCCTCTGCTCCGTTCCTCATTCCTGTCTCGTTCCCCTTCCACTTCGAGGGTTTTAACCAGAACCCTGATACGCGATTCCTCTCCAAGACTCTCTCAAATTTATGGGTCCTTTTCAGCTCCAGCTGCAAATGGAGCTAAGTTTTCTGGGTTTTCTCTGTATTCTCATGTTTACCCGAACAGGTATCAGTACGATTTGTTCCTAAATGTTACTAAGAGATTTTACCATGCAGATACCCGTAATTTTAGACAATATGGTGGTCTGTTCCAAAACAAGCATGATGTTTTTGTTGGGTTGCGCTTGGTCTTAGCTTCAGGGGAATTTCCCATTGCTTTATATTTTCCCGTGCAATTAATGGTCATAGGTTCAGGGCTTTTGATGGCTTTCTCTGTGTGTAATTTTTCAGTGGAAATTTTAATATATGCGTTGCTGGCTTCTGGGGTACATTGGACTGCATTATATTTTGCTAATTTAGAGATGGTACCGTACACAAATAGAACCCGTTTCATGCCTCCGTCGAAACTTGCAGAGAGAATGTTGGCAGTGGGAGATGTGTTATTTAACCATATCAAAGAAGAAATTAATTGTGAAACATTGCCTACAACACACCCTTCAAATGTGAGAGTGACATTGATTTGCCAAAACATTGTTGAGGCATTTCAGAGGGGAATTGAGCATGAGCAGGTGCAGGCTGATCTCAAAAGTGCATCAATTGAAAGTCTTTGTGGAGAAGGAAAGGATGAGGGGAAATGGTGCCCGGAAGATGGAATTTTTGACTGTAAGGGGAAAAGTGCTGAAGCAGCAAGAGCACTTCCTAAATTGGATGGATTTAATTGCGAAATTTTGGTTCAGGATAATGATCAAATTGGTGCTACTAGCTGGCCTGGTGGGAAAATTATTGTATTCTCAGGGACACTTGAGGAGTTTCCAAGTGATGCGGAGATAGCAACCATAATAGCACATGAGGTATTAGTTGTACTATTTTAGCAACTGATTATAAAGGGGGTGTCCCTATTGGTAGTCTGATTAGTACTCAAAAATCAATGGGATGTATCTTGAGGGGTGACTTTCTTCCTCGTTATTTTGTGTTGCTACTCAGATTGGACATGCTGTTGCTCGCCATTTTGCAGAAAGGATTTCAAGGGATCTAATGGTTTTGCCCCTAGAAATCATGACTTTTGGTCTTACCCGGAATATAACAACTAGAATTTTGAGGCGTCCTTTTAACCACAGGTATATTTTTCCTATGTATATATTTCCTAATTTCTTCTATTGGATTTATATATACACAGTCATTTTCAATGTATTCTTGCTTGATTGAAATAAAACCTATTGTTTTGCCTTTTGGATACATACATCTAAATATAAGTATTTGCTTTTGAAAAGTATAAGTTTTCAAAGGTTTATCCCTTTTATGCATGATATAATTATGTTATGTTTTGAATGATAGTGAATCAATTCAATAAAAAACACAAAAATCTGGATTTTTCAATTGAAGAGTGGCATATGGCACCAAGGTCTATTTTATCTAGTTGAAGGTGCTGATTTTTTGCTGTTTTGTGAATTGCTGGTAGTTGTATTTATATATACCTTAGATGTCTTGGTTTTATACTGTTTTGATACAACATGCAGCATTGTCCTAGTTTATGGTGAACAGAGAACTGATACCGGAGGATTGTTAGAGGTCATTGATGCTGAGACAAGGTTTCTGTTGTTTGAATTGATAGTTGATAGTTGATTTGGTAGTTGAGAATTGTACGAGGTTCTGATTTTGTTGACAGATAGACTAATTTGTTAAGGGTTGGAATATCTTTTCTTTTTGCTGATATAAAAATGAAAAAAAAGTGAATCAATCCATTGCCTGCATGCTGATTAGATTGAAAGTTAAAGATCATTGCTGTTACATGCATGCTATTTATTTTCTTGAATAGGACTGAATTTGAAGCTGATTACATCGGAATGTTTTTGATGGCTTCTGCCGGCTACGATCCTCAAGTTGCACCAGCAGTGTACGAGAAGATGTCAGACATTGGGGGTGATTCAGAGTCAGATGTTTCACATCCATCCACAACGAAACGAGCTCAGATGCTGACTCAAGCCAAGGTAATGGACAAGGCACTCAGGATAT